CCATGATGAACTTAAAATTGGGTTCTATTATTTTTCCTCAACAGTTCTCCTCACAAAACGAAATTCATTTCAAACACACATTTGATAAGAACAGAGTGGAAATTATTAGCAACACCAAAATAAAAGCAAAACTAATGTTTTCTGTTAGTTTAAGCACAAACTACGAAAAGTAAAACCAAACTCTGTGACAATAATTAAGACCAAACTGAACATGGTGTGTGTTTATGGTGCATGTCGGCAAAGTTGTCTCGGCGGGGGCGGGGCGGGGCGTGGTGGAGGTGGGGCTTACGTAGACGATATTATCGGATATCGCAATATTTTAAAAGCGATTATCGATAAGATATTTTTGACATATCGCCCAGCCCTAGTGCAGATGTGTATGACTGTCCAGTAGACCTAACAAGACAACTTGTTTACATCTGCTCACATGTTCCCCCCCATAATTATTATAGTAGAACATTTGCTGCTCTCAGAGACAATATCAGAATTTAAATATCAACAATTTAAAAGTAAACTTTTAAAATAATTTGTGCATAATTGTTTAAGCAATTATAGTTAATGAACTGAAATATGCTATTCAACAAATAAATAGCACAAAGCAAAATATAGATGAGTGCAATTTTTAGTGCAAGATTGCCATCGAACATTTTCAATTTTGCAGATAATAAAAACATTGTTTCTATTCCTATGCAGACATTATATCATAGTTTAGTCATCTTGTTTTTCTGTTTTAGGTGGACATAATACAGTCCTATATGCAGCTGTTGTGATTGCAGTCGGATGTGGAGTTTTATTTCTTATCTGCATTATCATGTTCATGAGGTGAGATCTTTGGTTTTATGTTTCGCATTGGTGTACTCATTCATAATTATTAATGTGTTTGCGTTTACATGTTTATCTCTGCTCTACAGGAAGAGAAAAGGAGTCAGTCAGCTGCAGGTCAGAACATACAGTGTAAAAATATCCATCCATCTTCAAAGTGAAATTACACGCGGTGCTGTGATGTACAATATATATATATATATTTTTTGTATCTGAATCCAGCATGTCGAAGAATGAGAAATCAGTGTGTTTTAGAAAACGCTCTCACAAGGAACTAAAGTTTACAGGAACGGAATCTCATGCAGGTGATTTTAGTTTTATAGTTTACTTTTCTAAAATGTTTTGGCTTCTTTCTCCAGGTTCAACAGCCTTCCAGCTCTGACAGAAACCACTTTGATGATGGTCTGTATGCCAGAGTTTCGGCCAACAGAACAGATCAGACCGCAGGAAAAACTCCTGAATCCACAGATACTGAGAAGATCAAGTATGCAAGCATCCAGCACATCAGAAACAATGAAAGCAAGTATGAGAATCTGAGAATGCACCATCCTGATTCTTCTGTGAGGTGAGAAACTAAATAGGTGTTAAACACATTTTCTCATGTGATATCGAAACTTATTTTTATATAACAACTTGCATGACTGAACTTTGATCAGCTCCTGAATTACTTGTGGTGGCTCTCAATCACACTAGAAAAATGCTCGTTCTCCCTTCATATTTGATTATGTTGTTCCACAGATCCGTTGCGATGATGGATAAATCAGTGATTTACAGCACAGTCAAATGATCCAGGACCCGTCAAATGGATTGAAAATGAAGCTGGACTCCCGCTGAACGTAAACATACCTCAGTTACTGCAGCTTTAAATCAAATGTTTATAATAATGATTTAATTGTGTCAAGTCACATAACATTTCTCCTTCTCTGTTGATTGCCTGTAGATAAGTGCTGGTCAGCCGTACCAATAATACAAACTACAAGAATTTCAATGGTGGTTATTTACATTTACCTTATTTACCTAGATTTTTTAAGACTGTGGTTTGGTGTGTCTGTGTGGGAAGTTACAGCATCGACTAGCTGAAAAAAATGCATTAAATGTTGAAACACTTTCTGTCAATAGTACATTTTGTAATTTTCCACGAATTGCAGTCTCGATGTTACATGTTATTTTGCCGTCCTGTGCCTTAGTCACTCTTCAGTAAGCGTCTGTTTTTCATATTTCATAAAACAAGTTTGATTCTTTGAGATATATATTTATATATATATATATCTATTTTGATATCCTTTAAAATAAAATGTATTTCTTTGATGCAAAGCTGAATTTCCATCAGCCATTACTCCAGTATAATGTGCCACATGATCCTTCAGAAATCATTCTAATATGCTGATTTATTATTAGAATTATCAACAGTTGTGCTGCCAAAATTTCATTAAAAAAAAAGAAATAATAAAAATGTACTGACCCCAAACTTTTGAACGATAGTATATATTGTTAGAAAATATTTCTATTTTAAATAGATTAACTTTTTTAAAATTAGAATTCAAATATTTAAATTAGATTAACTTTTTATTCAGCAAAGAATCCTGAAAAAAACGTATCACAGGATCCAAAAAAATATTAAGCAGCACAACCGTTTCCAGCACTGATAATAAATCAGCATATTAGAATGATTTCTGATGATC